TATGCACTGCATAAACCAAATCTCGAACATAAAAATAATATCCAATAAAGAAATAATACGGGGAAAGCACCTCACCTCACGGCAGTGGTCGGGTCGAGTGAGGACCCCTTGTACCCACAACCCACACCAAGGTTCCCGAGCGAACCCGGATTCGACTAGGATTCGCACGAAGCATTTCGCTCGCCACGTATACAGGCGAGCGAAACAAATTAAGAAAAAAAAATAGCCGAATTTCTTCACACGGCTCCCCCAACAAGTATCTATCCAATAGATAGATACAAACCAATGAGGCAAAAAAAAAAAAAAAAAAATAGAAACTAAACCAGCTTTCCACTTTAGTTAGTAACCAGACACAATCATAACAGTTGGACCTCTAAAATAATCAGTTTTCTTCTAAAGAAAGGGACCTTGCAGGGAGAAGTTAAATCAAACCTAGCAGGGAGAAGTTAAATCAAACCTAACAGGGAGAAGCTATAAAATGTAAACAAAGAGGTAGCACGCTCTCAGTTTTTATTCGTCCTCCAAAATAACTGGTTCACTTCATAATGAGAAGTGAGTATGTGTGTTGAAATCATAAAAAACAATCGTCAATATTGTATTACTAAATACAAATCAAATCTGGTTGGTTACTTTAACTTAATCAGTGAATTTTCTACATTTCAGCGAGTGGAACTGTAGTGTAACTCAAAAGTACGTGGTGTACACATCAAAGTGAAATAACTTCAAAACTGCTGATACTACGAACATGAAATCATTTATTAAAAAAACATAAGACTGAAATACTATCAAATTAACTGTGTGAAACGTGGTAAATTAGAAATTAGTGATTTCTTTCAACAAAACTATATGAAAATGAGAGTTCCAGACTTCAAGTGTAATTAATTTCCGGAACGACTAAGGAGATCCGCTCCAATATTATCACGCCCTGCAACGTGAACCAAACGAAAACGATAAGGTTGCAAGCTTAACGACCACCGTAAAAGTCTGTTATTCGACCCCTTGAATTTATTGATATAAATTAATGGCTTGTGATCCACTTCCAGGATAAATTCTTGACCCATTAGGTAATATCTAAATCGGTGGATACCGAACATTATAGCCAAGCCTTCTTTCTCAATAGTTGAGTACCTCTTCTCTCTATCTAATAGTTTCCGACTAGCGTACGCCACAGGAAATGGATGACCATCGACGTACTGTAGAAGAACAGCTCCAAGCCCAACATCTGATGAATCTGTTCGTAAGACAAAAGGATGGGAAGAATCAGGTAACTTTAATACGGGTTTGGAAGCTAATGCAGCTTTTAACTGTTCAAATACTTTAGTCAATTCGTCCGTCCATTTCAGTGGTTCCCTGACATTTTTACGCAACAAATCAGATAAAGAGCTTGTCAGTGAAGCTGCTTGTGGAATAAACATTCTATAGAATGAAATCAAACCAAGGAAAGATCTTAAGGTCTTCTTTGTGCAAGGAGGAGGTAGATTAAGTATAGCTTCTATTTTATCGAGTTTAGGATGCAAGTAGTTTCCATCAAGAATAAAACCCAAGTACTCAATAGACTTAAAGCCAAATCTGCATTTTGATGGCTTTGCAGTGAGGTTATGTTCACGTAATCTCTTTAACACTGAAACAATTGCATCTTTATGTTCATCCCATGTTTTAGTATGGATGAAAATATTGTCAAAATAGAAGGAAACATTCTTTAAACCAGCCAAAACAATGCGCATAAGGCGGATATAAGTGGCACAAGCATTTACCAATCCGAAAGGCATACGACAAAACTCCATAAGACCCCTATGTGAAGGAAATGCTGTTAAAGGTCTGGCCTTCTCAGAAAGTTTAACTTGATAGTAGGCCTTCGTGAGATCTAATTCAGAGAAGTAATTACATCCTGAAAACTTGTACAAGTCTTCCTCCATAGTGCAAGCTGGTTCAGCATGAAAATTAGTTACGGAGTTAACAGCTCGATAATCTATGGCCATACGATAGCTACCATCAGACTTTTTTACCATGACTACAGGAGATGAATGGGGAGATGATGATAGCTGTATAATCCCTTGTTCAAGCAATTGGTCAACTTCATCTTCGAAGTGAGGCTTTAGATGTATAGGAATGGGATAAACCTTAGACTTTATACGCTCTGTGGTGTTAACTTCAATATCATGTTCAAGGGTGTTTGTGCAACCTGGAGTTAATGAAAATACATCTACAAACTCTGCAATTACTGAATCAATATCAGATTTCTGTTCTGCTGAAAGGTCAGAACAAATCTCAGGTTGATCACTCTCAGGCAAGATGGGCTCTTCTCCATCAGAAGTTAGAGGAAAATTACTATCGCTCAATTCAGTATCTTCAAGAATACAATTCTGGACTATTTGTGGGTTCATTTCAGCATCTATCTTACTTTCCTCGTCCATAACATTAGGTTGGGAACTTGTTGCTCTCCTATGATACTTCTTAAGAAGGTTAGCATGAAGCAACTTCTGTTTTCCACCTTCATCGATAAGATAATTCACCTTATTTCGACATTCCAGAACAGTATAAGGGCCACTCCAAGACATGAGCAACTTGTTTTGGTTATCAGGGAGGAGAACAAGAACTTCCTCACCTGGACTAAACTTCCTATCCTGAGATTTCAAGTCAAAATAAGATTTGAATTTAGAGGAACTAATCTCAGCATTTTGAGCTGCAATTTTAGCACACTCCTCCAGCTTGTCTTTCAATTCAATCACATATTGAAAGGAAGATCTAACATCATCTCTCATGGTTGTGTCTTCCCACAAGTCCCTTAAGACTGAAAGAGGTCCCCGGACTGTCCGTCCATAAAGTAGCTCAAAAGCAGAAAACCCAGTTCGATCGCTAGGAATCTCTCGCATAGCGAATAATGTGGGGACAAGATAACGGTGCCATTCTCGTGGTTTGTCACTACACAATTTCCTTAAGGAGGCTTTTAGTGTTGCATGAAACCTTTCCACCCTTCCATTCCACTAGGATGATAGGGAGTTGTAAAAAGTGGCTTTACACCCAATAATTTATGCAGTTCGCCCATTAGTTGAGAAACAAATTGCCTTCCTCGATCAGACAAAATTTCCCGAGGAATACCGACCCTTGAAAAGATCACCATAAGGGCTTCAGCTACAGATATTGAATCTATCTCTTTGAGAGGCAATGCTTCTGGAAACCCAGTCGCAAAATCTATCAAAGTTAAAATATAACGGTGACCCTCAGAAGATGGAGGAGAAATCGGTCCTACCAAGTCTATGGAGACACGAGAGAAAGGCTCCGTTAAAATGGGCATGGGTTTTAATGGCACTGGTCTTACCCTACCTCTACTTGACATCCTTTGACACTTGTCGCAAGACTTACAAAAGTCTCGGATTTCAGCTCCCATGTTTGGCCAATAGAAATGGTCCCTAATACGCATTTCTGATTTCCGATGGGAGAAATGACCGGCTAAGGGGCTCTCATGACCTACTGCGAGAATGATGGCTCTACATTTACTGGGTACTACCAGAGAAGATTTACCAACTCTTTCACAGTGCTTTGAAGCAACACATGTACGGTACAGCAAACCATTTATTTGCTCAAACTTAAACACCGTACCATCACGCATCTTATCATGTTCTTCAGACTTTACTTTTTCCCAAAATTTAGTGAGAGAATGACATTCTGCCTGCAATTTTGCAAAGTCTTCAGGAGTTACTTTAAGAGGCTCGATCTCCGGCAACACTAAAGGGTGAACCCTTTTTACTTTGGAGGATCTAGTCTGAATGGCACAGGAATAATCAAGAGGGACATTTGAACGTTCAGTTACCTCAGAATCTGGAGATAATTTGGGACTATATACCCCTGGTACATTTCCAATCAGGACGCTACAGAATTTAATTGGTGCTCGCACCACATCAATCCAACCTTTAAAATAGGGACAATTCAGGTAGCATTTAGTTTTGGGGAAGTAATCCACCCGGCCTAAATAATCTTCGATCCCCACCAGATCAGCCCTAGAGAGATCAACATCTGGTAACACCTTGTGAGATACAATAACACATGTGCACCCCGTATCTCTGAGAACTGTGGATACCCAAGCCCCATTCACTGTACCAGCTGTCATGAACTTTGAATTTTCCCTGTCACTTAGACAAAATCCGACTTTGTGAGTTGGAATTGGGTGATATTGCTTGTACGCTAGGGGATTTTTAGGACAGCGAGATCTAATATGTCCAATATCACCCACCCATGACATTTAACAGAAGAAAAATCCCTTCTAAGAGCTGATTGGACTGGAGTTTGGGGCTTGGAGCCACACTTCTCTTACCTTGTTCAGATGATTGATATGACCTGGGGTAAGCACTATGAGCAGATGACCAATTATCTGACAGGCTTACCGCATCAGCTAAGGAGGAGACGTTATGCTCCTTTACAAAAACACGCAGATCTGGGGAGATAGAAGACATTAGTTGATCTAACAACATAAAATCACGAAGAGATGCATAATCTTTGGTGATATTATGCGAATCGACCCAATAATCAAACAATCGTCCAAGCCTGATAGCAAACTGTTCATATGTTTCACCACTTTTTATTTTAGCAGTCCTAAAATCATTCCTGTAACTGGCGGGAGTTTTACTATAACCCCTTAAGAGAGCTTTCTTTAATAACTGGTAATCGGCTGTTGTTTCTGGAGGCAGTGAGGTGTATATATCAACAGCCTTTCCTGTTAACAAACTTCCCAATCTGATAGCATAAGTTTCTTCTTTAAAATTTAACAAGTTAGCAATGCGCTCAAATCTAATTAAGTATGAAGTGATGTCTTCTCCATCTTTAAAAACTGGTAAACTAGGGCGTGAAGCGCCATCAAAAAGTACAGGATTTAATGAACTATCAGAATTGTTTAACCGAGCCATCTGAAGCTCATGTTCCAGTTTAACTCTCTCTTTCTCTGCCTCTAATTGCTCTTTCTGAAATTCTCTTTCTTTTGCTCTCTCCTCCCGTGCAAGTGTCTGTTGACTGATGACATACTGAGCAATATCATTTCCTTTAAGGCCTAGTTCCTCAGCCTGAGCTTTTAAAACATCAAAGTTAAGATCTGCCATTATTACAGAATCAAGAATGTCAAAAACTAAAAAAATCACTATTGACCGACCGACTCACAAAAATTACTTTACACTTTTAATCAATACTAGAGGAGTTCTTCCTCGCACCTAGCAACAAAACAAAAGTGGTCTCAACAGACCGAACTCACCGACATGACGTCAAAACCAGGACTTTCAGAAGAGTAATCTTCCCCTCAAGAAGATGCACCACACCCTACCTGAAGTCCAACCTATTTCAGAGATTCACCTCCGGGCCCCAAGGACGGCAAACCATGAAGGGGAAACCTTCCCGCAACTTCCATAAACAAACAACCTCCACGTACTGCCTTACAGCACTGAAAGTATTACAGTTGTTAACAAAATATAAAATGTAAAATGGTTCTACTCGAGAACTTGATCCTCAAAACGAGTAAATCATGAATCCTGGCAAGGTCGCCACATGTAAATGCCAAGTTCTTTTAGTTTCATAGAGATTTACTAATTTTGAGGAAACAAATAAACAATTCGAACCATTAACAAACATTTATTCAAAAATAAATATATTTCACAATTTGTAATTGTCCATATTCAATTATAAATACAAAAAAATACACATTCTATTAATTTAGTTCAAAGTCCACCAGATTCACACCAGTCCACAATGTTCAGTCTAACGTGTTTCCGAAATCTTGGCCAGGTTGAAGGTGGCCACGAGGACGAATTCTTTTGTTCTTCTAATGATAAATAAATATTTGAAAAAGAAGCCTCCGTGCCTGGCCCTTGACAAGTAGGTTCTGTTGCCTGTGTTAAAAAAAAATACACCTTTGTTTATGTATACAGCTTATACAATTTCACAAAAAAAAGTAAAATTCAAAAATAGCACGGGGAAAACACCACCTCAAGGCAATGGTCGGGTCGAGTGAGGACCCCCGTACCCACAACCCGAAACCAAGGCTCCCGAGCGAACCTTGATTCGACCAGGATTCGGGCGAAGCATTTAGCTCGCCATGTATTCAGGCGAGCGAAGCAAATTAAGAAAAACATAATATACGAATTTCTTGACATGGCGCCCCCAACAAGTATCTATCCAATGGATAGATACAAACCAATGATACAAAAAAAGTCTTTAAATTAGAAACTAAAACCAACTTTCCACTTTAGTCAGTAACCAGACATTCATAACAGTTGGCCCCCAAAAATAATCCGTTTTCTTCTAAAGAAAGGGACCTAGCAGGGAGAAGTAAAACAAATATAGCAGGGAGAAGCTATAAAACGTAAACAAAGAGGCAGCACGCTCTCAGTTTTATTCGTCCTCCAAAATAACTGGTTCACTTCATAATGAGAAGCGAGTATGTGTGTTGAAATCATATAAGAAACAATCGTCAATATTGTATTACTAAATACAAATCAAATCTTGCTGGTTACTTTAACTTAATCAGTGAATTTTCTACATTTCAGCGAGTGGAACTGTAGTGTAACTCAAAGTACGTGGTGTACACATCAAAGTGAAATAGTTTCAAAACTGCTGATACTACGAACATGAAATCATTTATTTAAAAAAAATCATAAGACAAAATGCTATCAAATTAACTGTGTGAAACGTGGTAAATTAGAAATTAGTGATTTCTTTCAACAAAACTATATGAAAATGAGAGTTCCAGACTTCAAGTGTAATTAATTTCCGGAACGACTAAGGAGATCCGCTCCAAGATTATCACGCCCTGCAACGTGAACCAAACGGAAGCGATAAGGTTGCAAGCTTAACGACCACCGTAAAAGTCTGTTATTCGACCCCTTGAATTTATTGATATAAATTAATGGCTTGTGATCCACTTCCAGGATAAATTCTTGACCCATTAGGTAATATCTAAATCGGTGGATACCGAACATTATAGCCAAGCCTTCTTTCTCAATAGTCGAGTACCTCTTCTCTCTATCTAATAGTTTCCGACTAGCGTACGCCACAGGAAATGGATGACCATCGACGTACTGTAGAAGAACAGCTCCAAGCCCAACATCTGATGAATCTGTACGTAAGACAAAAGGATGGGAAGCATCAGGTAACTTTAATACGGGTTTTGAAGCTAATGCAGCTTTTAACTGTTCAAATACCTTAGTCAATTCGTCCGTCCATTTCAGTGGTTCCCTGACATTTTTACGCAACAAATCAGATAAAGAGCTTGTCAGTGAAGCTGCTTGTGGAATAAACATTCTATAGAATGAAATCAAACCAAGGAAAGATCTTAAGGTCTTCTTTGTGCAAGGAGGAGGTAGATTAAGTATAGCTTCTATTTTATCGAGTTTAGGATGCAAGTAGTTTCCATCAAGAATAAAACCCAAGTACTCAATAGACTTAAAGCCAAATCTGCATTTTGATGGCTTTGCAGTGAGGTTATGTTCACGTAATCTCTTTAACACTGAAACAATTGCATCTTTATGTTCATCCCATGTTTTAGTATGGATGAAAATATTGTCAAAATAGAAGGAAACATTCTTTAAACCAGCCAAAACAATGCGCATAAGGCGGATATAAGTGGCACAAGCATTTACCAATCCGAAAGGCATACGACAAAACTCCATAAGACCCTTGTGTGAAGGAAATGCTGTTAAAGGTCTGGCCTTCTCAGAAAGTTTAACTTGATAGTAAGCCTTCGTAAGATCTAATTCAGAGAAGTAATTACATCCTGAAAACTTGTACAAGTCTTCCTCCATAGTGCAAGCTGGTTCAGCATGAAAATTAGTTACGGAGTTAACAGCTCGATAATCTATGGCCATACGATAGCTACCATCAGACTTTTTTACCATGACTACAGGAGATGAATGGGGAGATGATGATAGCTGTATAATCCCTTGTTCAAGCAATTGGTCAACTTCATCTTCGAAGTGAGGCTTTAGATGTATAGGAATGGGATAAACCTTAGACTTTATACGCTCTGTGGTGTTAACTTCAATATCATGTTCAAGGTGTTTTGTGCAACCTGGAGTTAATGAAAATACATCTACAAACTCTGCAATTACTGAATCAATATCAGATTTCTGTTCTGCTGAAAGGTCAGAACAAATCTCAGGTTGATCACTCTCAGGCAAGATGGGCTCTTCTCCATCAGAAGTTAGAGGAAAATTGCTATCGCTCAATTCAGTATCTTCAAGAATACAATTCTGGACTATTTGTGGTTCATTTCAGCATCTATCTTACTTTCCTCGTCCATAACATTAGGTTGGGAACTTGTTGCTCTCCTATGATACTTAAGAAGGTTAGCATGAAGCAACTTCTGTTTTCCACCTTCATCGATAAGATAATTCACCTTATTTCGACATTCCAGAACAGTATAAGGGCCACTCCAAGACATGAGCAACTTGTTTTGTTATCAGGGAGGAGCACAAGAACTTCCTCACCTGGACTAAACTTCCTATCCTGAGATTTTAAGTCAAAATAAGATTTGAATTTAGAGGAACTAATCTCAGCATTTTGAGCTGCAATTTTAGCACACTCCTCCAGCTTGTCTTTCAATTCAATCACATATTGAAAGGAAGATCTAACATCATCTCTCATGGTTGTGTCTTCCCACAAGTCCCTTAAGACTGAAAGAGGTCCCCGGACTGTCCGTCCATAAAGTAGCTCAAAAGCAGAAAACCCAGTTCGATCGCTAGGAATCTCTCGCATAGCGAATAATGTGGGGACAAGATAACGGTGCCATTCTCGTGGTTTGTCACTACACAATTTCCTTAAGGAGGCTTTTAGTGTTGCATGAAACCTTTCCACCCTTCCATTCCCACTAGGATGATAGGGAGTTGTAAAAAGTGGCTTTACACCCAATAATTTATGCAGTTCGCCCATTAGTTGAGAAACAAATTGCCTTCCTCGATCAGACAAAATTTCCCGAGGAATACCGACCCTTGAAAAGATCACCATAAGGGCTTCAGCTACAGATATTGAATCTATCTCTTTGAGAGGCAATGCTTCTGGAAACCCAGTCGCAAAATCTATCAAAGTTAAAATATAACGGTGACCCTCAGAAGATGGAGGAGAAATCGGTCCTACCAAGTCTATGGAGACACGAGAGAAAGGCTCCGTTAAAATGGGCATGGGTTTTAATGGCACTGGTCTTACCCTACCTCTACTTGACATCCTTTGACACTTGTCGCAAGACTTACAAAAGTCTCGGATTTCAGCTCCCATGTTTGGCCAATAGAAATGGTCCCTAATACGCATTTCTGATTTCCGATGGGAGAAATGACCGGCTAAGGGGCTCTCATGACCTACTGCGAGAATGATGGCTCTACATTTACTGGGTACTACCAGAGAAGATTTACCAACTCTTTCACAGTGCTTTGAAGCAACACATGTACGGTACAGCAAACCATTTATTTGCTCAAACTTAAACACCGTACCATCACGCATCTTATCATGTTCTTCAGACTTTACTTTTTCCCAAAATTTAGTGAGAGAATGACATTCTGCCTGCAATTTTGCAAAGTCTTCAGGAGTTACTTTAAGAGGCTCGATCTCCGGCAACACTAAAGGGTGAACCCTTTTTACTTTGGAGGATCTAGTCTGAATGGCACAGGAATAATCAAGAGGGACATTTGAACGTTCAGTTACCTCAGAATCTGGAGATAATTTGGGACTATATACCCCTGGTACATTTCCAATCAGGACGCTACAGAATTTAATTGGTGCTCGCACCACATCAATCCAACCTTTAAAATAGGGACAATTCAGGTAGCATTTAGTTTTGGGGAAGTAATCCACCCGGCCTAAATAATCTTCGATCCCCACCAGATCAGCCCTAGAGAGATCAACATCTGGTAACACCTTGTGAGATACAATAAACACATGTGCACCCCGTATCTCTGAGAACTGTGGATACCCAAGCCCCATTCACTGTACCAGCTGTCATGAACTTTGAATTTTCCCTGTCACTTAGACAAAATCCGACTTTGTGAGTTGGAATTGGGTGATATTGCTTGTACGCTAGGGGATTTTTAGGACAGCGAGATCTAATATGTCCAATATCACC